TTGAACCTGCGCCACTGGCAGAGTGCCAACTCAACAAAGATCCAGGATAACGAAAACGGCGAAACTCTCCTTAACATTACATCACGGCTGGTCGACGTCCCCTTGACAATCACCGATGGTGACGTGTTCAGCGAGGTCATGCAGAAGCTACTGTTTGGAGGCGGCGATATCACACTCGACATCAAGGCCGAAGTCGACGTAAAGCTGAAAACCGTCCTCGGTATTCTGACGGTGAAGAAGGTTCCCGCAGAGGGCAAGATTCCAGTAAACGGTCCGTCATCGCTGTGGTAATCTCTTGCATCCCCCATGAGGATGAATAATCCTTATCTACACGCTGAAGTATTTTCTTAACGCGCCTTGCGATCATGGCAAGAGCCAATACTGACCTATGATCAGGATTCCCTGGAAACGCACTTGGTAAACTTAAGCCTCAAGTCGGCGAGATAGAGGTTATGGAAACTACAGAGACGGGGATTCAGATGAGAGCTCTTGTCAACCTCACAAACCCTACACCCTACGCAGCTGTTGTACCTTATCTCAGCGTACACATTCTTCACGATGGAGAACTTCTCGGCGAGGCCATATCAAGAAATGTCACATTTGACCTAGGCAACAACACCAACCTTCCTGTTCTTGCGACTTGGAATCCCTTACGATTCGGCGGCGAGAAGGCGCAAGCAGTTGGCCGCAAGTTACTGTCAGACTATGTGTCCGGCAAGAATACGACACTGACGGCACGCACCCACAAACGGAGTGTTCCGAATGTCCCTATAATCGGCGAGGCCTTGTCGAAGATCAACATCACTCTGCCTACACCGCGAATAACTGTCCCAGGCGAGGACGAGCACGGAGACGAGAAGCCACACTTTATCGCAGATGCCACCTTTCATCTCTTTTCTTCGACAGCCACTTTTACACTTCTTTCTCCGTTGCTATACAACACTTTATACATAGAACACATAAACGCGACTGCTCTTTACAACCACACTGAACCAGTCGGTCAGATTATACACGATGAACCTTTCCCAGCAACACCTGGGCGATCCCAGACCCCGCGCTTGCCAGTCATATGGTCTGCCAGCAGCGTGGGCTATGGCAAGCTGAAAGAAGCACTGGGCGGATCGCTCAAGCTTGATGCCATAGCCAACGTGACTGTGAGATTGGGCAGCTGGACTGAGAAAATCCATTATACAGGCAAGGGAATCGGGGCAAAGGTCAGCCTATAGGTCTGATCAATCCTGTGAGGCCTTGACACAGAACAGAAGTGTTTGGAGTTAGTGGTTCTTATTTTTTGAGGGGAGGGGACTCGCTTGGGATACTGGCGCGTATTATTTCTTTTCCCTTAGACACCTAGGATACACGAAATTGATTTCTTTACAGTATGACACATACTGGTGTTCTGTTTCTGGATCACGCGTTGTGTGAAAGAGTTGAAGTGAACAGCAACTATTCTCCAACAGTTCAACTTTACTGATTCTAGGAACAACCACCTCTATGCAGAGCACACAAGGAAAACAATCACTATGACTATTTTCTCAACAAAGGTGATGTTCGTTGAACCTTCACATATTCGCAGACCACTAGTAACGAGCATCTTGGTATAAAAAACTCGTTTGTGCCAGTCCTGACACCAAGAGCCATTCAACTAACCATCCTTACATTCTCTCCCGCAGGCAGGCTTTGCAGGTAAGTCACAAACAGTTAACCGGCTAATCATTTTAGGTCCTCGATTTCACGAACAATCATGGCATCCCAATACCCTCCTGGACTCACATTTACAAAGGTGAAGAACTCCAGCCACCACAACAGTGTGGCCCCCCTACCATTGTTCTCATCATCGGCTGGTAAGTCAGAACAGGAGTCGACCCTGGCCTTGAAGATGGCGCAGGCTATGGAAGGGGAGGTGGATGAGGCAATGAGGGACATGAAGAGGACCTGGAACGAGATGGCGGCTGAGAACAAAGGCCAGTCTATCATGAAGAAATGATGGCAGGGACATTGTTTCACTTGAAGCTCATACTTTGAACTTGCATTTTCCCGGAGACTGAAAGAATCAAGGGGCTGTCAAAAAAGAGGCTGCCGTAGAAAGCAATTAGGGAGGAAAACAGGAGCCTAGGTCAGAGTTAGTTGAACACGAAACATACCTTGAATCTAAATTTTCACATGGTGTCAGCCAGAAATGAAATCTCAAATAAGCACATGAGCAAAGGGTAAAAGCACCTTTTCGTTGATCTGAATTGTCCATTGCCGGTATTACTATTCGTAGCCCCCAACTCCATTCTGTTGATAAAAAGTCAAGTGAATTATGCAAGTCGTACACCAGCTTCCCGTCGCTTCTTGAGCTGCTGTTGAGCTGCCAGACTCATACCGGCAGAACTTGCGTCAAACATGCTCTGTGCTTCGCGTCGCTTCTCGTCCTCGATCTTCTTGAGCCGCTTCTCTGTCTTGCCCTTGCCGCTTCCCTTGCCATGGAACTTGTGGCTCATGTACTTGAACGCCTCCTTGTGGTCGAGAGAACGGCCGTGGTCATCGGTGTACTTGATGTCGACGTTGGGTTTGTATCCTGCTGAGAACAGCTCAGCCATGCGTCGAGATTGCTGCTGATCTCGCCAGGTGTTTTGTTGACGTGCCCACTCCTCACGCTCACGAACTGACATTCTATCCAGCTTGCCACTTGTACGGTCACGCTCTCGCTGCGCGCGTGCCTGCTCGTCCAGCTCTTCTTCTAAAAGACGTTTCTTTGCGAGGAAGTCTTCTCGATTTCGCAAGCTGGTATATTCCGCATCTCCACGTGTATCTTCCACGAGACCACGCTCTCTTAGTAGCGCGAGAGCCGCGCCCATACCTGCACCAACGGCCTTCTCTTCTTCGACGCCTGCCTCATCCAACTCCTCGACAGCTGATGATTGGGGCTTCTCTTCAACCACTTCTGCATCGTCGCCCATGGGGTGGTCGTCATCGGGTTCTGGGGACTTTGATACAGTCTTTGGTCTTCTGGGCTTGCGTTCTTCGTTTTCACCTGGTTTACTTAGCCCTGCAACAAACTCTGAGACTTCATCGAGAACAAGGCCACCCTCTTGTTGCTCTGCTGGTTCTGGCTCATTATCATCCTCCTTGAGCAGCCGGGCGATGTCTTCGGGTCGGGTCTTCTTTCGCTTCTTCAAGGCATTCTTTCTTTGGATCGCGAGTGTTGCTTGAAGGTCGTCGTCATCCACAAAAGTATCATCAACTGCCTTTCTCTTTTTCTTCGTCGTGTCGTTTGAGTCGATGTCCATCAAGCCATCTGTGGGTGTTGTTTCAATGGGAAAGAGATCATCATCATCCGTGGGCTTTTGTCTGGTTCCTTTCTTGCCCTTCTTCTTTTTAGGCTTCTTGACTTTGATCTGTGAGGGGTCTATATAGTCTGAAGAAATAGGGGCATCACCTATAAAAGTTGTTATATTAGTGTGGTGTTCTTTTCTTTGGGTATGCAAGCAGAACTTACCGATAACGTCGTCCAAGCTCACGTTCTGGCCATTCTTTGTCTTGTCAACCGGTTTCTCAAGAATATCTGAGAGCTCTGCAATGACGCCACTTGTGTCGAGGGTGAACTTCTTGGATTTCTTGCCCTCAATCTCTTCATCGTAGTGTGATAGAATACCACGCTCGCCGTCCTCGCCGTCATCTAGGGGGTTGTAGCCTGGTTTCTTCTTCTTGTTGTCAAGTCTCTCGGCAAGCTTTTCGGCCTCGCGCATGTTCAGATTCTCCAGCTCATCGCCTTCTTCCTCGTTCTCATCAATGGTTGTATCTTTGAGGGTGAGAATCTGGTCGTCGCCATCGAGGAAAGCCGCCGTGTCATGTCCAACTTTGATACCAGCGAGATCCTTGGAAGTATACTGGACCGCAGCAGCAGCTTCAGCCTCGGCTGCGGCCAGCTCCTCCTCCAATTTCCTGACTTTGGCGATCTTCTTCTGTCGCTTCTTTTGTCCAATGAGCCAGTCTTTGGCGCTAAGATCGCCACCCTCCTCGGCTTCTCCAAAGCCTTTGCCTTCCAGAACTGCATTTCGTTGCGCCAGCTCCCGGGCTTTTCGGACAGCTGCGGCTTTCTCCTCGCGCTTCTTCTTTGCCTTTTCCGCTTCGATCACCTTGTTGTAGTTGTCGTAGGCCTGAGCTTGGCGGCTCTCCAGTGTGCTGGGTGCATCGCCATCCGCGTACATTGACTGGTTTTGACTGGTATTATCTGCTCCTGGGACAGGCAGAGGCTTCATTCCCAGGGAGATGCGAATTCTGTTCGTCTCTTCAATCGTTGCGGCGTCCATCTTAGCAGTCGTATCGCGATGGCAACGTCGATATATGTGATGCGGCTATGCTAGATGATGAAAACGACTATTTCTGGGTACCTAGGTAGGCAGAAAGATACGCCTGAAGTTGACAAGCACGAATAATCACTTTGAATCGTGGCTGGTGGAACAGGACGTGGCTGGGTAATTCCGCAGTTAGACCGGATTATGTAAGCAGACAGTAACAATTTTGTGTATTTAAGTCTCCTAGCCGCCGCAACCAAAATTTTCTTTTCTCTTTTCTTCAAGCAAACACGGATCTGTGCCTAGCGATCCCCTGCTCTTCGGAGTCAGGGTCGATTGCTTTGCAGCTCGATAACTTATAAGGAGCCATCAACTTGTTATGGTGTCAATCATCCTATCGACAGGTCCAAGAGTAACTGTTGCTTCAGCCGCTTCATTCGCTGTCGAAAGATGGCTTGAGTGTCGGGGCTGTTGCATAACGAGACGCTATATTCCACCCCCCTTTTCCGAGACCGTCGGTCGGTGAGGTTGGGGAAAACCATGGCCTACCTACATACCATTTGACTAGAAGAATCTTGCGCAATTCGTGATGTCCGTATAATTCCATATATATATGTATGTCGCGATATACCAGAGACAGGCAGTCAAACTTTTATTTTTTTAAGCGGACCCTAACCTAGGTGGGCTAATGTCAGGTTGCCGAGCAACAAAAGCGATTCAACGCTTGGCTTTGGTCGTTGCTGATCCCCCCAGTATCTTGCCGTTGACAGCTAGAGCCTCTTCCTGATGGCTTCGGCTTTGATCCTGAATCTGGGGATCAAGTCCACCTCATGACAAAGTAACAAGCATCATTTCACGATCTGCGGCCCGTCTTCGGAGCATGGTACCAAGATTCGACTAGATCGCATAATGACGGCGGAGTGTCCTGTTGTCAGGTCTGATGCGACGTTTGTGGACCAATAACGCAGCCGCAGGGTAGGCGTGTTTCTGTAAATGAAGTTGAATCGAAATGAGATATCATGTCACAACAGTCGATAACCGAGGATAACATGTACTGTGTGTGCAGCCTGCATAAATGCATACATAGACATGAAGGCTGCGTTGCACTCGGCGCTTTGTTCCAGGCTACTACTCGGTACTCACTAATCATCCGTCCACTACCGACGCCTCCATCCGGGGTGACCTGTCTAGTCTGGGGTTTGAGAATTTGAGCATCACGAGAGAGTCTGGGGAAGGGGGCGGAATGAAGCGAGAGCCCACAGCTCGGCTTGCATGTGAAGACTGTCTATGAGTGGTCATGGATGTTATGCTATATGCATGTATTACAGGGGGGACGATTGTCCTCCTACCTATTGGGAGCTACTCCGGAGTCAGTCGTGCCATGGAGGTTGTCCAAGCTACTACCCCACACTATGAGTTGGAGACTTTCTGTCAGTGAAATCATACATTATTAATTTGGGGTAAAAGTCACAGGAGCTCAAATCAGCTGGTGCATGTGAATACCCGGGTGCATAGCTATTCTCAGAAGTCAAGTTGACAATGAAACTCCAAATCATCATTATCCCCCAAGAGGCATCTGAAGCCATCGTGAGCTGATGAGCATGTTCAAATGAGTATGACCTCAACAAAGCATAACAAGCCGAGGTGATATCAAATGCAAAACAACACCACCTCCCGGGGACTGCAGCAGACTAATTGTAATCAACTCGGCCTCATTCTAATTATTCGGGCCTTTGAACCACACCGCACTATCCCCCAAAAGCCTGCGTCCGTTGTTCACCAACTCTACAGCTTGCTTCCGCACTTCCATATTCGGTATCTAACAACTAGACCCTTGACAAGCTCAGTTCATCTATTACGGGGTTTCTGTAACAGTCGGGATGCCGGCTCTCTATAAAACCTTCACGATGGACCTTGTACCTGTTGGTGATCCAGTCCCATCAGTTTCGATCAACTCTACAGCCTCTCTGATACAGCCCATCATGTACTTTGTGTCTTCTGCCTTTCTTCTCGGCTCATTCGCTCTCCAAAGCGTCTTGGGCCGACCAGCCTTCGATGAGAGGAGTCTCGTACAAGAGAGACAGTCTTCGGTCGACTCCTTTATCAAGTCTGAGAGCTCAGTTGCCATTGAGCAACTCCTCTGCAATATCGGCTCCGATGGCTGCAACTCCAAGAATGTAGCCACTGGTATTGTCATTGCCTCTCCAGACACACAGGATCCTGACTGTAAGTCGATGACATAGCCAACCTGAGCAAAAGACGCTTCCTAACATACGCTAGACTTTTACACCTGGACTCGAGATGCTGCTCTAGTCTTCAAGTACGTCGTCGATAGGTTCATCAACCAATATGATGCTGGCTTGCAGAGGAAGGTCCAAGAGTATATCGCCTCCCAAGCCAAGCTCCAGGGTGTTTCCAACCCTTCTGGATCGCTTTCGGATGGCTCAGGTCTAGGAGAGGCCAAGTTCAACGTCGACATGAGTGCCTTCACTGGCGGCTGGGGTGAGTATTCGTGTTTTTTGGCGCCCCTACATGAGAACAGTTGACTAAAGGTTGTCAAGGTCGACCTCAGCGAGATGGTCCAGCTCTGCGTGCGACTGCTATGATCACCTATGCCAACTGGCTGATTGCCAACGGGTACACCTCCACAGCTAACGACATCGTGTGGCCTGTTGTTCGCAACGATCTCAACTACGTGGCTCAATATTGGTCAGTGATGCAGCAGCCTTCACTGGAGCCAGTTCTGACCGTCATAGGAACCAAACCGGATTTGACTTGTGGGAAGAGGTCAAGGGCAGTTCGTTCTTTACAACTGGTTCCCAGTATCGAGGTTAGTTTGCTAGATGATTTACCAGTAAGACGATGTACTCACTCGCATTTTGAAGCTCTCATTGAAGGTGCCGCTCTGGCCAAGAAGCTCGGCAAGTCAGGAGACAACTACTCCAACATCGCTCCCCAGGCTCTCTGCTTCTTGCAGACCTACTGGATCTCCTCCGGCAAATACGTCGACTCTAACAGTAAGTAATAAACTAGCTGGACTCTCAGTTATCATAACCACTGACCCCTATAGTCAATGTCAACGATGGCCGCACTGGCAAGGACGCCAACAGTATTCTGTCGTCCATCCACAATTTCGACCCTGTTCTGAACTGCGATCCCGCCACCTTCCAGCCATGCAGCGACAAGGCCCTTGCCAACCACAAGGCGGTTACTGACTCTTTCCGCTCATGGAACATCAACAAGGGTATCTCTCAAGGCTCAGCTGTCGCCGTTGGACGATACGTCGAAGATGTCTACTACAATGGCAACCCCTGGTACCTCGCTACACTTGCGGCTGCAGAGCAACTCTACGATGCCATTTATGTCTGGAAGCAGCAGGGATCTATCACCGTGTCGGACGTCTCCCTTTCGTTCTTCAAGGACCTCGTCTCTTCCATCTCTACCGGAACCTACGCCAGCGACTCTGCCACCTTCAAGAGCATCACTGACGCCGTCTCCAAGTATGCTGATGGGTATGTTGCTATCGTTGCAAAGTATGTCGGCACAGATGGCCACCTGGCAGAGCAGTTTGACAAGAATGACGGCCATCCTCTTTCTGCCACAGACTTGACTTGGTCATATGCCGCTTTCCTCTCAGCTGCTGATCGTCGAGCTGGTGTTATTCCTCCTTCTTGGGCTGGCAGCGTGGCTGCTGTTCCCAACCAATGCGGTACCAATACTGTTGCTGGCTCATACTCATCGGCCACTGCAACTTCGTTCCCGGCATCGCAAACACCCAAGGGTGGTGTGCCCACTCCAACTGGCACCCAGACTTCCACTTCCACTTCCACTTCCAGCTCGTCCACTAGCACCAGTTGCCCTACTGCAACCTCTGTAGCTGTCACTTTCGAAGAGGTTGTCACCACCAACTTTGGTGATACAATCAAGATCGTTGGCAACATCGCTGCTCTCGGTAATTGGGACACATCAAAGGCTGTTGCCTTGAGCGCCTCGGACTATACCTCCTCGAACCCTGTGTGGAAGACCACCATTTCCCTAACTGCAGGACAGTCTATCCAGTATAAGTACATTAACATCAAAAAGGATGGCTCTCTCACCTGGGAGAAGGACCCCAACCGTACCTACACTGTTCCCAAGACATGCGCCACAAAGGCTACACAGTCTGACAAGTGGCAGTCTTAAGATGATGCCTTTGTTCTATATGCCTTGAGGGTTATTTCGATACATTGATAGGCAGAGTTGGAATCCGACTTAGATTATTACTTTGACAGGGCTGGGAGTGAAATGCAATGAGTTTGATGACGAAAACGAAGGATACGTGTTTGGAGGTAGCAAGTCTGATAATAACACATGTGCTGTTACATATGTTTATTGAGTTCCGTGGTTTGTTTTACCATGCTTCTCCTGGCCCGAGTATCGATCATTGATTTGAACATCCAATGTGATCTCAAGCAAGGATTCCTCGCACATCTCTGGCTGAAGCAGATTGGCGCATGACTTTGTATGTACGACTGTGGAGTGTCATGCTGTGAATGCTCACTTCGTTAATGATTCACTGAGATACCAACTCAGTCTATGACGAGCTTGCTTTGATATTCACAACAGTCATGTTAACTCTAAGCCTAACATTAGCAACTGTGACTCCACCCCTCATGAGGAGACACGAGTGCATCTCAAGTCACTACCCATCTCTTCGACCATGATGTCAATAGCAAAATCCCGAGCACTTTCTGGAATTTTCTGATTGTGATATATCCCAATACCTCCTGTAGTCACTCATGTGCCAATTTCTTTCATTCCATTGACAGCTCCTCTACGCAAACTCTTCATCCTCTTCCTCCTCAATCTGGTTTTTCACTCGCACCAAGATCGTCGTCTTCCACTTATCCAACTTGCTGATCTGGTCGAACTGATACAGCCTGTCGGTAAACTGCTCCTGGCTCTTGGCCTCGATGGCCTCGCAGAGGTCAGTCAAAAGCTGATGCTCACGCTGTGCACCAAATGAGGGATCCATATCGCGATACTTCTCCAGGGCTCGCTGAGCAGCGACCAGATCGCCACTAGCCAGATGGCAGATACCTGCCTTGAGCAAGTAGTCCTTGACGCTGTACTTCATGAGGTTGTTGTTGATTGATTGCTCAGCCACTCTCTCGTATTTCTCGATGGCCTTGTAGTAGTCGCCCTCGATAGCAGCCACGTCGGCCACCTTCAGCCATAGCTTGTTGGCAAGACTGTCAATATCCATAAGTAGATGTAAAACGCCGATGTGGTTGTGATATCCAACTTACGCTGCCGCATTATCGCCCTCATACCAGGTAGCAGCGAGTTCGTAGCACTCGATAGCGCTCTTGGCATCGCCGAGTTCCAGCTCGTACAGCTCGCCGAGATTTTCCTTGTGGGAAGCTGCGCGGCGGAAATTACCCTTGGCGCAGTATCGATCGACAGCGACGTTCAGGCATCGCGCAGCAGCCTGGGGGTCGTCTTTGCGGTAGGCCTTGAAGGCATCCACTAGGGTGTTGGCAGCGTCATCGGGTTCCTTCAGCTTGTCGGTTTGAACTTGGGCGGCCTGTTCAAAAGCCTTTCCGGCTTCGAGCACTAGATGTCGGAAGTGTCAGCTTCGGTTTCACAACGAAACAAAGCGGTAAAGGCGTACTCTGTTGCTGCATCTTGAAGGCATTGGCGGCTTGAGTGAAGAGATCAGCGGCCTCTTGATACTTCTCCTCTCGTCCACCAAAGAAGCTGAAGCCGCCGCCGGCACTCTGAAGCTGCTTCTGAGCCTGAAAGTTGCGGAGTGTCAGCACAACTGCAAAGCAACAGCCAATACAAAGCGGGGGAGGGGTCACGAAACCTTTTGGAGAAGAGCTCTTGGGTCTTGAGCCATGATTGTGATATTCGTGAAAGGGGTATCAAGGAAGAGTTGGGAGGAGAAACAGAAAGAGAAAAGAGAAAAACACCACGTTCTAGGTTATCACGAGTTGGCTTTAAGTTGTATGTAAGTAAAGATGGCGAGTACCTCGACTTGCGGCGCGGACGGCGGCTGAGCTATGACGACGGTTGCTTGAGCCACAGAGAGACACCCCCAGTGGGCTAGGTAGGTAGTAGGTAGCTGGGGTCTTTTTAGTGGGCCCCCGTTGTCACATTGAAGATCTAGGTTAAGACGGATCAAAGGTATCTTGGATATATATCCATCACAAGACTCTATTGACAGATCGCCTTAGGTACGCAGAGAGAAAACCTTGATCGAGAGTCAGCAGTTATTATATCCATATCGACAGATCAGGCCAGCTACGCATCATGACGATCTGCACATCCTGTCGTATCGCCCTTCAGCGCAGCATCACACATTCTACAAGACTTTTGACAACTCGGTTTATAACAACAAACTCGTCTACCGCCGCCTCGATCCTCGAGAAACACACCTGGTCCGTTAGAAGCCTTCTACCATCCTCGCCAAGTTCAGCCCCTGCAGAAAAGATCACGCCCTCCCAATTACACCACCTCCTCCGCCTCTCAGCCCTACCGTTGCCAACTACACCCGAAGACGAAGTTGCCATGATCAACACCCTCCAGAGCCAATTGCAGTTCGTCCGCGCCGTGCAGCGTGTGGACACAACCGGGGTTGAACCCTTACGGGCGATCCGTGATGAGACCACAGAGGCTCGACAAGAGGTGACCATTGGACTTGCTGAATTGCAAGAAGCTCTGGATAAGGAGGTTCGTATAGGGCATTATCAAAGGGCGAGGAGGGTTAGAGAGACGATTGAGTCTGAGGCAGAGAAGTGGGATGCCCTTAAGACGGCTGGCAAAACAGCTGGAAGATATTTCGTGGTTGAGAGCGGGAAGAATGATGTGGAGGGTGCTGAGTGACTGCGATACACGATTCGCAAGACAGCTACCTTGTATAAGTGCCCTCCCAATGAGATACCCTTTTATAAATTAAATTCCCAAATGGAAGATCCTAAACCATACAATTCTGCCATCATGTTCGCTTGAACCTTGCCCAGATATCGCTATGCCACTAATAATCTTCACATACATATGCCCTAACTCACCAGTCTCTGTGCTCATATCATCATAATTAACGCTCATTTCGCATTGCCCTTTTTCTTCGACGGTCCGGCGTCCTCGTTGTTCTATGACTTGTTTTCCGACGGTCCATCCTTGGGTTTTGGCTTGGGGACCTTCTCGTACGCATTCGGACTCGGCGCCCTCTTCTCCTTTCCCGTTCCATTTCTCCGCCCACGTCCATGACTGTGCCCGTGTTCATGCCCACAGCTTTGGCGCTTCCCGCCCGCTGGTTGTGCTCCATCGCGGTCAGAGCCCGAGTCTGAATCTGAGTCTGAGTCGGACGAAGACTCGTCGCTGGACTCGTCGACGGCTTTCGGCTTATGGTAGATACAACACACTATTGAAATATGTGTTAGTATGTGGGCGTATGCTCGTATAAGATCATATTGCCCACCTTTTGAGCTCTTGCGTCCAAGACCTTCATTGTCAACTACGTCCTCTGCCCACTGTACGGATCGCCCATTGGACGCATGAGCGCCTCGAAGTCTCAGGATCTGAGGCGCTTGTTCTCTTGTTTCTGGTGTTTGCGCCGGGGTTTCGGTTTGTGTTTGTGAGGGCGCTGGTGCGCTTCGTTGCTGTTGCCGTTGCGACATGACCGTCTCGAGGTGATGTGATATTCGATGTAGCTATAGTACGAGCGACTGTTTGTTTCCTTTGACAGGGTTTTCGGGGAGAAAGTAATCTCTCCCGGAGGATGTGGTGTTGTCTCGTTAATAATGTTGTCACGCGCTTGTTGATGGAATCGTATGGCAAATAAATGATTTGCCTTACCTAGTAGTATCAACATTTAGTTGTAAAGATAAGATACGTACCTCTTTTCACGTCACGACTTGCCGGATTGATTAGCCAATCATTGGATGCGAGCTCCCATTCACAAATCTCTACCATGCTGTATTAAAAACAACTTAACTACCTATCCACGTCCTTTTAAGGAATCTTCTTTTCGATCCTATGGTTATGAAAGAACTGACCTGGTAAAAGGAACACTGCTATTTTTCAATGCTAGAGTACAACTTTGACACTACAACTACACAAGATGATCGTCCACACATGTTAAACGGTCGAGCAAATCAGTCAGGATGAACTCTTTCTGCTAAGTCTCATAGTTCTCCTGCAGTTCTACAATACACAGTTCTGAGATATAATCTATAGTTGGGGTGATATACAATTGACATGGTAATGCCACCATCATCGTCTACTCATTCATCATACAGCCTTAAATCGTACAGAATCCACCCAAGATAGAGCTCAGTTGATCGCAGTTCTCTTCTCGGCTTTGTCTTTCTTCTTAGCACCCTTCATACTTCTTCGCGGTCGACTCCTCTTGTGCTCTGGCAATACACGAGGCTTGTTATGCAACCATCCTTGGATCGGTTGACGAGAGCCAATGAATCGCCCCTCAGGACTGAAGACATCAACTGCTGGCCAGCCAGTTTCTATCGCAGGCTCAGGCGCAGGCTTAGGCTCCTTACGCCTCTTTACCACCGGAGTTCCTGCATCTATTCGCAGAGCCCTCATGGCTGCAAAAGGATCAGACGTGTCGAGCTGCTTCGGCTTGGCCTCTTGCTCGAATCGGGGTTGTTGGTCTGGAAATACCTTCATAGCGACATCCTGTGCGCGGACTTGTGCAACAAGCTCAACATAGCCCACACCCTCGATGAGGATGTCTGTCGACAACACTCGGAAAGGAAGCCTATCGACGTTTAACCCAATCGCATTCTTCCGTGTAAGAGGGCCAGCTCTTTGTCTGGTGACGTCGTGAGACAGCTTAAATGTTCCAGCATGCTTCATCTTGCCCCCAATTCCAGGAAGCATGATACTTGGTACACCGATGGATTCCCGTGTCTGCTCCTGGAACGCGATGGCCTTCTCAGTCTGAGTGAGGTGCTCCTCCAGAGGCGTAAAGTTGTATGCCAGAAAAACCAAGCCCGGGTTCTTTGGTGTGATGCGAATGAGACCTCCTCCTAGTATGAGGGACTTGCCAGGCGTCATTGAAATCTGTTCAGGCACAATGCGCTTCTTCATAATCATCGACTGACGGCACTCCTCCTTCACAAACAAGTCAAGGTCGCTTCGTGCCAAGCCAGGAAGGTCGATCAATTCGCCTTTTCCGTTTCCAAAAGGTACTCGAATTGGGGATGCTGTTGTGCCAGGGAGTGAGGATACCAGAGGCATATCAGGATAGTTCTGAGCCGGCTGAGGGGGCGGAAGCAATTCCCCAACATCGACGTCTCGCTCTCCAACTTGTTCGGCATATATTGATTCCGCACTGACGCTATCCCGAGGATATGTCGATACTGATGCCCTCCCGGCTTCCTTGCTTGGCCCCATTCTGCCTTTGGGATAGACAGCCTCAAAGAGCTGACTTTTGCCCACGTTGACCTTTCCAACCATCCACCCGGCACCGCCGCGCTGCCAGATATCTTCTCTAACCTCCGTGCACCACCAAGCACGCTTTGCGCTAACGCATCGGACATTGCCAAGACGAACCCTACCTCCAAGTCGGCCGAGAGCATCTCGTAGTACCTCACGAAGGTAGGGCATCATTGAGTCCACAATCTCTTTCGTAGGACCAAGAAGATCGCCGCGAGTGATGATAAAACTCAGTTCTGTCTTGCGATCATTCTGGTACTTGCCCGCTCGTGATCTTCGATTGCGCGTCCTGATGGGAATGTCGCCGAGGAGAACATTAAGTCGAGGGATGAGCGACATGGGAAAATCGGCAGCATCTATGACATGATATATGTGATTGTACTTGTGCGGCGATTCCTCGATGGTTTCGCGCAAGGACTCAACGGTGGGATGGAACATAGCAACCTTTGCTGTGTCGCTCGAGGTGCTATAATGTTGTAAATTGTGGCATCGATCGCATACAGGCTGTTTATCTTGGGACAGTGGCTCTTTTAACTCGTTAGCTTCTGCATGGTTTGTAGTAAGAGAGTTGGAGGCGTACTCGGAGCGATATCCCCCCCCTTCTCAGCTCCAGTTACCAAGAGAGAGGGATCCAGGCCAAGAGCTTCCAGCTGGTCAGGGTCTAAGGATTTGAGAACCTCATCGACAACTCCATCTTCCTGGCTCGCTGTATGCTGACGCTCAAAAGCCTTTGGGTTCAACCACTTCTTTACTCTTTTGCTCTCGGGGTCGAAATAGCCCAGCATTTGCGGATCGCTCGTCTGCGTAAAGGCACCGCATCCTGTGCAGTTCAATGGTAAGCGCCTCTTAGGAGTCTCAAGGCCCAGAGATGAGCTTTCGCTTGTCGTGATTGGTACATCTTGGACTGTCGTTTCGGTATGATTAAGTCGTCGAGTATAGATCGGAGTTGGTAAAGGCGTCACTTTCCGTGTTCTGTGAAATCGACTCGAAGCTCCAACGGCCGGACATAAGAATAAAGGAACACTCGACGAAGCAGATGCTTCACCGATACTAAGAGCCCGGTTTATCCATCGAGCTGACAATGCGCGATGCATTGCGTTGTTTCTATGGTGAAGAAACGAATTCGGGTTGTCGCAACTAAAAATGTTGGACTTACACAGATTACCTATCCCAAAAATTTCCTAGGAAATCGTAGCTTTGTTAGCCTCCACCAAGTGGCATCCATCCATTATGAACCCCCACCAGCCAGTTCGGGTCAACGCTCGGCCCGCAGCCTCGAGCACAGCGTTAGCCTTTGGGCAGGGGTCTACGATTTTCTGGGCCTAGAGTCGTCGACTTTTTGAAGCATTGCGACCACGGAACTGGTTCGATTCTGAAGAGACGTTTGCGACCTTTGTAGTTTAAAGGTTTGCGCAGTCCAAGATGAGGTCTCTCGGTGAACGTTTCAACAAGCTTCGCGCTGTAAGTCAATTCCCGGGGTTCGCGTCTTAAGGATGTGGCTGACAATTAACATAGAAGGTAGATATCTCTCCCACAAACGACGATCCGCGATCCATTGCTCACGACTGAATCAGATCATTTCCTTAAGATGCGGCCCGGGCGCAGCAATCCTCCCCCCAGAGGTGACCAGAATACATATGGACTTTGCAACGAGCTTCAAGAACGGCCATATGGGCGCCAAGTTAGTCCATATATCAAGGTCTCTGGCACATCAACTAATACACCAAAAACAGAAAGTTCTGGCGTGAGAACCTCCCCCGACTAAAATACCATAATCCCTCAGTTCCTATGATCGTCAATCGTCACAGTCGGAACAACAAGAAGCCTACAATCTCTATCTATCTCCGCAAACCCGACGCTTCAACTCCCGCACCAGCTACTCGTTCCCAGCCCTCCTCATCACGCAATAACATGTCCAAGGCCACACCACCGGACGCCGATGAGAAGATTATTACCGTCGATATGACTGAGAAACACTCCTCTCACATTCTTGAATACGTACTTGCCGAGACCCGTGCTGTCCCCATCAAACCCACCAAGGAGGAGATCCGTGAATTGCAGGAGTTGGACGCCATGGCCAGACAAGCCGAGGTTGACCGAGCACGTATGAGGAGCTTACGTGAGGAGAAGAAACGCGAGGAGGATATGCTGAAGCGAGCCCGGGCTGCTGGCGGTGTTGCTGAGGAAGAGGATTCGTAAAAAGGCTTGGAATGACAGAGAACCATAACGATGCTGTACAATAAATGTGTATTAACGAATGCCACATATCTGGCAAGTGTACAAGTTGGAAATTTAGGAAGTCCCACCACCTTCTGCTTGAACTCCTACGCTGGTCAGTAAATGGATTGTTGGGGTGCCGCACACGTACAACGTACATTTCAATGTTGAAGAACTGCGATTCTCCCCTAGAATCTCTTGTAGACAAACAAATTCAGTTTCTAATTGCACCTTGACAGGTCCTGTATATAGATCTACACTCCCGAGAAAAAAAAACCTTGAACTACCTATCAAAACTCCGTAAATGAAATGAATGCTTATTCGTAAGTTCATCAACTGTACCATTTTACTTTATCCCAAAGCCCTCGCTTTCATGAACAGCAGTCCATAGCAACTTCTCTAACCTTTCTTTTGACTTGTATCGTGACAGAGATAGCATGTTGAAGCACGTACGAGCAATAGGGAACCTGCCTTCATCCTCACCAAGGCAGGATATCTTAATCGGCAGTACAGCCGCACCCATAGCAGGAATTCGATCGCTACCAGTGATGAACAGCAGTAGTTTCCGTTGATCTTGAGATGTTGCCGCCTGAAATGTCTCCCAGAACCAGTCAATGACGGGCTCGGAACCATCTGGCCTTTTGATTCCCCAGTTATCGTATTCAGCGACCCCCCTTAGCGAGTTGATGTCAAGTGCTTCGTCAGAGCCTCGTACAAGGAGTTCAATCTCTTCTGGCCTAAAGAGAGACAGAGCATTACCTCCACATACAGTGTAGAAACCTCGTTTGAAGGGTTCGAACTGTCTCGTCACAGACACATCGATTATGTGCCGCACGTAAAGGTCCACGTATTCTCGACGGTTGCTGTTAGTGACAGGAATGCGTTCGCCTCCAGGGCAAAGGGGAACCTGCACCTGAGTACCATATTTATCCACATCAATAACGAAATCGAGACAGAAGGTTTCTTCCACATTGCCTTCATATTCTAGCAACTGTCGTAATCCTCGAGCTAGTCGAGGCCGGTATTCTGCTAGGTCTTCCAGGTTATAACGCATAGGGGGTTTTGGATGAGCTGATGCTCCTGTACCGTGTGTTGGAGCCGATGCAATGAGTTTTCGAAATGCAAAAGGAGGCAGGGCCACATCCAGAATGGTCGAGTTGTATATAGCAAGTCCCATCACGACTCCGACCAAGAAGAACTGATCGGAGGTTTCAAAAGCGTTCGGATTGAAATAGCAGAACTGAGAATCCTCGTCATAAAGGAAAAGTCCTATCCAGAGTCAGCAGGGCCCTGTTTCTGTTGGGCAATTCAGCTTACCATGGTCGGGGTTGAAAACTTCTCTGGCCAGAAGTAAAAACCACTCTTTCCGTAGACCACCAGCATCTACTCCCTCCTCACCACTAAAGGTAATACGAAGACCCTTTTTGATATCCTCGCTCCCACTTCCAATCACCTCGCTGACAGCTTTTAGACTGTCATCTACCAGACAATCTCGGCGAACATTTAATTCGAGGAACTGGTTGATAGCCTTGCGACTCATGATACTATCAAAAAAGGCGTCACGGGCTTTACTCTGCATCTGGCGACGAGCATCGTGCTCAAGAATATGGTTCTTGGCCCATATGCTTAAAAGGAATGGGTACTGGCAGAACGTGAACTTGCTCCTACGAGCCTCCCAATTCTCAAAGTCCGCAACTAAGTCAGTGTAGTCGATCATTGAATTGTAGAAGTCGCTCGTTGGTAGGATTTGTCCGTGAGAATGAACATTAGAACGACCCTCGGCCGAGCCCGACGGAGATTCTTCATTTCTCCGGCTGTGTGGCAAGTTATTCGCAGCGAAAAGGAGCGCCAAGACCCGCGAAGAAGCTCTAATCTGCCAATCTTCGGCATACATGATTGTCTTTTCAGGCTCCTTGGCCTTCTTCGACGAGTTTGCGCGGTTTATCTCATCGTAGAGGTAAGCTCCTGAGCGCCCTTCTTGCATTTGCGGTATCAGGCCAGCTGTGATGTCAACTTTCACCTCTTGCTTCTTTCCACTCTGCCGAATCATCCGATATGTTAAGAAACCAGATGCTAACTCTTTGGTGCGAATGAAGCGAGAAGGGTGATGTCTTGAAAACCAGGTTATCAACTGGTTATGGCATTCAGCCGACGAGTTTGATACTAAGCCCACTATGCGCTTGATGATGCCGGAGTGTTGCCCAGATAAAGGTCCGGATTCAGGGGTGCTGGCTTTTCTCTGCTGTATTGACCTTGGGCCAGAAGGCAAGCCTTTGTCGAATTGTAGAATCCCCCGAAACAATATTTCCTGTTCGTGAAGTAATGGGTTTTCTAAGATGATAAGGAGAAACCTCAAGTCTGCTGGATCCTTCAAGGGCCTTCCAGGTCTTTTTAGAAGCATTTCGGTTGCTTTAAGAAGAACTCGCCGAGCATGTTCTTGGCCCTGCAGTAGTTCCCGCTCCATTAATTGCAATTCTCGTTGAGAAGGGGTTAAGAAGGCCTTTCCTTGACACATCTCCTCGTAAATCGCAAACCATCCCTCAGCGGGATTCACAATAGTGGTGTACCATTTGATGAGATCGCCCCAGTTCATTTGCGGTGTCTTCGTGTTGACTGGCGCGCTTGAGAAACTCCGTTCCACACGGTTCGTCGACGGCCGTCGAGGCCGAGAGTCTTCTTGGTTGCCCATCCACCATGTCCCATTCTCAGCAAAGTCACCTAAAAGTAGTAACTTTGGATCGAGGTCGCATGATCCATCATCGAATTGCGGTGTAAACCGCTCCTCTCGTGGCTCACGCGCCGCATGGTTTCCTGAAGGCTCGCGACGATGCGCTCTCTGTTCACGAGGCTCACTAGGTAGCGTTGGCTTGCGGCGGGTCGATTCGCTTCTACATCTAATGGGCTGGCGGTGGGTATGTGTTAAGAATGATGAGTTAATACATTCGAATGAGCCAAAGCAGGCTACGATATAGTCTTCCAAAGCCTTGAATATCCTTTTCGGGTCACCATCAGACTGATCCGGCGATTTGCGTTGCTCTTTTGACTCGCCTTCTTGCAATATCTTACGTACTGGAGGTCTTTCGGTGTAAGAAGAAGAGAAGGATCGCATTGGCGTAGGGTTCGGCCGGGCGGGACTCGACAGTAGGGTCGGTTCCTCATCGAAGGCATAATGAGAAACTTGTATAGCAGGGGACTTGGATGAAGACGCTGCGTCCTGCTTGAAATCAAGGCTTTGGCCAACAGCCTGTATTCGGCTGCTAAATGACAACTTCGACGGCGGTTGTGGCGGCGCCTCGGTGGGAGGTTCAGGAATTGGATGCAACTTCTTAGAAAGGAAGGATTGTATCGATTGTTGAACCAGTCGGTTTGTCTGTTCGATCGAGATATGCGGACCTGCACCCATATTAGTGATTGTCCTCTTTCTCTTGCCTTTGCTCCTACCTCGAGTTGGGACAGACCGAGAGTGGTCCTGGCTTGCATCTCTACGCGACTTCGAACCATCATGATCTGCACTCAGAGGCTCCAAATCGTTGACCGTAGTACAGATCGTGCATTTGAACACCTTGAGCTCCCGCGGCCATCGTACTAACGAACCACATGTCATGCAGTTGCCCGTCGTAAAATCCTTACTTCCTACAGGACCGTTTCGAGTATGAGAAGGGTTTCGAGCTTGTGTCTTTGGTGCTTGTCGAGGCATTGCCGAGTCATCGTCTGCAAAACCCAGGTCAGGCGGTGGTGCGCCGACTGAGTTCTGCCTCTTTTTCTTGCTGCTGAAGAGGGAAGGAAAAGGCTGGCTCATAGAGCGCGTGTGCTGTGGTCGACGAGGTTTGGAAGATTGAGGCCGCGAGGGATGTAAATCAGACTCGTCGGAGCTGGAATCGGCGTTTGCATTGGAGAAGGATAACTCGAGGCGATTCCCGTTCGATGTATTTGGCAGATTCGTCGAGTAAAGCGCGGGCAATGTGGTAGGCGTGTGTAAGGCCGTATTGTGAATCCGACTGATGAGGTCACCGTTGGAGTTGGAGTTGTTGTTGGGTTGCGACCCACGACGACTCGGCCAAGGAGCCATTTCTAGGGAAGTTACTAAGGATTCAGGGCGGCGATCTCGTGCAAGTCACGAGACGCTTGGCGAGATAGGTAATATTCTGCAACTTTTGGATACTTGTTTGGAGGAAGGAAAGATATTGAATCAGAGTTTGAAACGTCTTTTGTTAGTCAAGCATGATGAACATGATCCAAAGTCAGCATGTTCCGAATGGGAGTTGACGCCAGCAGCAGACAAGCCCAGTTCAGCTCGGCGAAATCAGCCAAACAAACCCATGCTTTGTCCTTTGGCACCTAGTCTCCAATGGTGGGAGGAAGAAGAGTGAAATTTGGCCAACGAGTCTGCGGAAACAAAGCAATGAACGATGAGTGATGGATGGGTGCAGCTCAAGCCGTGGCTGTGGTTGGTGAAACAAGCCCGGTTTGTACGTATAGGCAGTCAGTGTTGATGAGTAAAGATCCAATATTAGGATTGGATCCAGTACCTTGTTTAGTCTATGAAACCCAACGACTGTAATAATAAATTGCATGCAACGTGCGGCCGCCGACTGTTGAGTTCCTGATCATCTTGGCCCATTTTGTCCTGACGGATTCATCGCAGATCCTTACATTTCCCCTTGTCTCTCAGACGTCTCCGCGATACCCAGAAATTTTGGGCTTTGAACTCCAATTGAATATCGTGTGTAGACGCCGAGAAGCAGGGGTTGATGAGAGGCTTGACGGATACGGGCAATACAGGGCTCCCAAGCAAAACTGGAGTTCCTGGCGGCCAGTGAGGACAATATGATTCAGGTGTTTAGCATGTCCTCTTTCACCGCAATGGGAAACATGAGTATCCTGCCTTTTTACCTATAGTACCTACCTACTCCGTAGTAGGTACAGGTTTGACAGGTGAGTGTACGTACTGTATCTTTTTTAAGACCTCGTATTATGTTAGT